TGTGTGTGTGTGTGTGTGTGTGTGTGTGTGTGTGTGTGTGTGTGTGTGACCATACACGACCCATACTAATCAGGTCTCAGAGTAAATAGCAGCGCAGGGCGATCTCAATGTAAATTACGCTTGTCAGAAGCACACCCCCTCCCTCACTTTCTCTCCTCCTCCCGTCGACAACCCAGACTGTAGGTAGCTGGGGGAGGGGAAAAGGACTTTCCAACCAATGGCGTGCAGGAGGCTTGGCTAACCTTAGCCTCCCATTTTCTCTCCCCCCCATTCAGGGCTCTGACCAGTCAGTCGCCTTTGATTATCAGTTGCCAGCAGCCCTTCTCTTGGCTCCTTGACACGAGCTCCATATAAGGCAGCGATCTCCATAGAAACGTGTCAGTTTCAATAGTAGTGTCAAAGTTCACTATATACAGACATTCGCGCAGATCCCCCTTTCGGAAACATTGCTCTGAGTGTCCTCCCGTTTAAACGCATTCAATTTTTTGGTCCCTCTCCTCTCCTCTCCTCTCCTCTCCTCTCCTCTTCTCTCCCCTCCTCTCCTCTCTTTTCCTCTCCTCTTCTCTCCTCTCTCCTCACCTCTCTTCTCTTTCGCCCCTCTCCCTCCTCTCTTTTCTCTCACCCACCTCCTATTGCCCTATCTCTCCCCTTTCTTTTTCTTACATATCCTACTAGTTGTCGCCCTTCCTCTTTCTCTCCCTCCTCCTTTTCTCTTTCACTCCTTTCCTGTAGAAGAGAGAAGACTAAACTTAAAAAAAAAAGGAGGAGGAGGCACCCCCTCGGTATTCTTCTTATCGTTATTTTATATATATATATATGATTTTTTTTGGAGGGAGGGTGTTGGTTCCCGGCTGAAGAGCACTTATTTAAAATACTAAAAAAAGCACATTTTTGGGCGCTCTCCAGGGTTTTTAACTAGCTCTGTGTGTTATAGCAGAAGAAGCAGAAGAAGCAAGAAAGAGGAAAAGAAGAGGATTATTTATTCGACCTACTTTGGATGTCTCTCTCGCTTTCTCTTTTTCCTTTTTTTCTCAAGAATTTTCTTCTGATTTTTATTTTTTCCTATTTCGCTGTGAATTCGTCGCTGGCGTGAATTATCTCGTATTTTTCTCCCCCTTCCGTCACCTCCCGAAAGAAGAAGGCAGAGAGAACCCGGCGCCACCCGCACAACAAAAAGAGCAAAGTGTGTGATCTTCCTCGCCGGCTGCCTCCCGCTCTCCAGCTCTGCCTTCCTGAATGGCTGGCTGCGTCCGGCCCTGGACCTGGCCCCCCGACACCCGAGCGCCCTGATCGTCGCCAGCAGCTTCGCCCCGCATCCTGATCGACTCTCCCAGCTCCCCACACTCTTGAATCCGGGCGAGGGCTCCCGCCGGGACAGCAGCGGCGACGCGGGCAGCCTCGGCCTCGGTTCTCGCTCGGGCTGCGGCCCCGACTCCGGCTCGGACTCCCGCCCGGGCCCCGGCTCTTCCAGCGGCGCTCGCAGCGGCGGCCGAGGCTGCTCCTCCAGCGGCGCCTGCAGCCGCGACCTCCTCCTCCGCCGCCGCCGCCGCCCTCGCCGCTTCCTCTATGTCGGCTCAGCCCGCGCGCTGCGCGTAGCCCCAGCGGCCGGCGGTCGGGCGGGCGGGCGGGCGGGCGGGCGGGCGCCCGGCGCGGGTGAGCGAGTGTGTGTGCGAGTGTGTGTGCGCGGGGGTGCGGGCGAGGCGGAGGGCGAGTGTGTGCGCGCGCCGTGGCCCATGCCCGCCGCCCCCGGCGCTGCGCCCCGCGCCGCTCCCGGCTGCCGCCTGTGCCATTTCTGATTTTGCAACTTGGGGAAGAAGAAAAAAGCGAGAGAAGGGAGCTCGCTCGCCGGGGGGTGGGGAGGGGGGAGAGAGAGCGCGGCCCCCCCAGGAACGGAGCGCGGGGGGAGCGGGCGAGGGGAACAGGGGTGTTGGGGGGGGAGCCTGAGAGCCTGGGGGGGCTGCAAAAAGAGAGAAAGAAAACAGCAGGAACCACAACAAAACGCCAGCAGGGCGGGCGGGCGCGCAGCAGCAGCGGGGCGGCCGAGGCAGTAACGGCGGCGGCGGCGGCGGCGGCGCAGGCAGAGGCCGGTGCCCGGCTCGGGCTCGGCTCCGGCGACCCCGGGGCGCCCGGTGGGCCCCCCGCCCCCTCCCCCTCCCCCCTTCCCCTTCCCCTTCCCCTCCCAGCGCGCCCGCGCGCCCCGCGGCCCTCGGCGAGCAGCTCGGCTCCCCCCAGCGCTCCCCGGGCCCAAAGATATGGCAATGGTAGTTAGCAGCTGGCGAGATCCGCAGGACGACGTGGCCGGGGGCAACCCCGGCGGTCCCAACCCCGCAGCGCAGGCAGCCCGCGGCGGCGGCGGCGGCGAGCAGCAGCAGGCGGGCTCCGGCGCGCCGCACACGCCGCAGACCCCGGGCCAGCCCGGAGCGCCCGCCACCCCCGGCACGGCGGGGGACAAGGGCCAGGGCCCGCCCGGTTCGGGCCAGAGCCAGCAGCACATCGAGTGCGTGGTGTGCGGGGACAAGTCGAGCGGCAAGCACTACGGCCAATTCACCTGCGAAGGCTGCAAAAGTTTCTTCAAGAGGAGCGTCCGCAGGAACTTAACTTACACATGCCGTGCCAACAGGAACTGTCCCATCGACCAGCACCACCGCAACCAGTGCCAATACTGCCGCCTCAAGAAGTGTCTCAAAGTGGGCATGAGGCGGGAAGGTGAATATTTCTTCTCTGCTTCTCTCCCTGCGCTTCGCCCGCCTCCCTGCTTTCTTTCTCTCTCGCCTGGGTGCCTGTGGCTGGAGGGATGGGGCTCCTGTGGTCCCAGCCGGTCCGGGCTTCCCAATCCTTGCTGCTTTCCTCCCCCCGCGTGCCCCCCCCCCCCCCCCCGCTGCCGCTGCCTCCCCCTCCCGGCCTGCGCTCCTCTCCCCGGCTCCTCCACCCCGCCCGCTGCCTGCTCAAGATTGTGTCCCTGGGATCGTGAGCTGTGGCTTAAAAATCCCTCCCTTCCTCTGTTGGATGTGCTCCGTGTGTGTCTCGCTCCCGCTTGTGTGTGAGGATGCTTGGGGCTGTACTGGCATGAACTTGGGAGGGGTGCTGGTTTTCCTCAGAAAACCGTTTCTCTGTGTGTGTGTTTTTGTTTTTTGGTTTTTTTGTTTTTGTTTTCTTTTTCCCATTCCATTTTCTCCTCCGCCTCGTCGTACCTTTTATTTATAGTGGGAGAGGACTGGGGCTGGAGGATTCTAAACCATAGATTCATTGCTGCCACCATCCTTTAGGAAGCTTAGCTTGGAAAAAGAAGAGTGAGATTTATTGCACTTGTAGGTCTAATTAGGGAGGAAGGGGGGGGCGCTTCTGGCCTGTTCACTGGCTCCCTCTCCTCTTCAGGGATCTAGGGCCGCCTCCTCCCGAGCTGTGGCCTTGTTTTCACCCCTATACTTTGAAAGGAAAGTTTGTGACTGAACCCTGCTTTCATAGTAGTGTCATTTTTTAAAGCTTGATACTCGTTTTATTTCTTCATCAAACTCCACCGTCTGCTTAAATACTGCATACAAATTACAATTTACAACGGCATTTACCGATCCTTCTGATTTGGCTGCAGCTGGCATGAGCTTCTGCATCATTTAATCGATGTGTGGGATTTGTTTTTTTATTAAACACAACTTTTGATGTTGAATTTGGTTATGCTTCATGTTCATGTGGCATGAGATGGAGCACTTTCCTTACAAATATATTTAGCGGTTTATAGTTAAAGTTTATCTCCTGACAATCATTAAAGAGATCTTAGAGTCAAATTAGTGAACCAGTCAATTTCGAAGAATGTAAATTACTTCTTCTTGTAATTGACTTCAAAATTATATTTTATATGCCACAAGAAAAGAAATTGAATTCCTTCAGATCTCAAGGAGAAAGCAAATATGATGACTTCATTTCTAGCTCCAGGGAGATTCTTCAGGCATCTAAAAAAAAAAAACAACAACAACAAAAAAAAAACTTTGAATTGTGCTCTCATTTAATTGAAAAATAACTGCCAAGTTCAAAACTATAATTAGAAAAAGTATTCTAACCATTGTGTTTCAAGAGCATAAACTGCACTGGAACTCTTGTTGGAATTAGAACCAAAGAAACTAGTGCAGAGCCTGAGATAGGCCAGTCCTGTGGACAGGGACCTATATCTACTAATTTGTTGTGGGGTGGCAGTTCAGTAGCCCTAACTTTCCCTAGAGTTGTCTTTGTTTACATGGCAATTGAAAATGCTGGCACTGTTGAAGTAAAACATACACATAAAAAAAAAAAACTCTTTGGTCAGCTTTAAGAACTCAAAGCATGCTTACGTTTTGCATTCAGATGGTTAATGAATCCAGTGTTTTTGCAGTTGCAAGCTCGTGCATTCACTGGGCAAAGCTGGCTTCAGGTTGCAGTGGCATCGAACAGGACAGACATTAATTAGAGTTTCTACTTTTTTCAATAATGTTTGGCTACTGTAAGTTCAACTTTTTCTTGAAATTTTTAAATTTTCTGTTACTTTTAATAGTGAGAACTTTGTATGGGGCAATCAGGAGGAGGGAAGACGGGAGGAGGTGTGTGATTGCTTGCTTGTGGTCCAAACTTGTAAGTGGTCAGTAAGATATGTAACTTGTATCTCTTTTAAAGATTATTCTGTAGCACTTTAGAGATTGTGGGAATATTTTATACACTTGCTGCTTGTTTGCAAGTGAGGAGTGCTCTAAGGTTTGTGGCTGGTACCACACCCTTTCTCAGATTTCACTTAAAAAAAAAAACTTTGATTCATATCATTCTGGAAGGATAAATGGGGTTTCATTTATCTCTGTGTTGCTTCTTAGTAGCTGGGAGTTTGGGTGGTATTTTCTTAGCCATCCTGAGCTAGGGGCCTTGCAGTCAGGCCTGGTTCTTCCCTGGCTGAAATAGCCAGGGTTGCAGACTATGGATAGACATATGGAGCCGGTGAAGGTAGATGAGTTCACCCCAGATCTCCTGGCAGTGTGATCTGTGAGTAAGAACCAGCAGAAGATGCTTCGGGAGCGAGTGGCTGCAGGAAAGAACTACATTGCGTTGGGTGCGCGCTGTGGCTCGGCGATGTTCACAAGCCCCCCTGGATGCACATTGCCTCTTTTCTCTCTTTCTTTTTATCAGCGGTTCAGCGAGGAAGAATGCCTCCAACCCAGCCCAATCCAGGCCAGTACGCACTCACAAACGGGGATCCCCTCAATGGCCACTGCTACCTGTCTGGCTACATCTCGCTGCTGCTGCGTGCAGAACCCTACCCCACGTCGCGTTATGGCAGCCAGTGCATGCAGCCCAACAACATCATGGGCATCGAGAACATCTGCGAGCTGGCCGCCCGCCTCCTCTTCAGCGCCGTCGAGTGGGCCCGCAACATCCCGTTCTTCCCGGATCTGCAGATCACCGACCAGGTGTCTCTGCTACGCCTCACCTGGAGCGAGCTGTTCGTGCTCAACGCGGCCCAGTGCTCCATGCCCCTGCACGTTGCGCCGCTGCTGGCCGCAGCCGGCCTGCACGCCTCGCCCATGTCTGCGGACCGCGTCGTGGCCTTCATGGACCACATCCGCATCTTTCAGGAACAGGTGGAGAAGCTCAAGGCGCTGCACGTCGACTCTGCGGAGTACAGCTGCCTCAAAGCCATCGTGCTGTTCACGTCAGGTGAGAATGCGGTCGCGGGGAGGGCAGGCTGTGCGGGGAGCTGGCGCGGGCATCGTGCAGCGGGTGCCTGGCTTCCTGCAGCTCCCGCGCTGCCGCTGTCGCTGTGAGGCCGGCCGCTCGAGCCACCTTGGGCCTGCTCAGGGTCTGCAGCCCGGGTACGCGGATGTCGCCGGCCGCGCTGCTGCCATCTTGGAAACGTAGCGGTGCTGGAGCGGAGGAGGCTCGGGTGAGGCCGGCGGCCTGGCCTTGTGGATGGCCTGGACCCAGCGAGCCCGGAGAGAGTGAGGCGACTGTGTGTCTGGGGAGGCAGGGCACTGTGGATCGTCTAGCTCCTGTATGTGAGCTATCTGTGTGTGCGTGTGTGCTTGTGCGTGGCTGTGTGTGTGTGTGTGTGTGTGTGTGTGTGTGTGTGTGTACAAGAGCTCAGTATTTCTGGGGGAGGAACGATAGGGAAGGAAGACGAGAACGTGGGAAGGTGGCTTCTTAGTCTGTGTAGCACTCTTCCTTGAATGAGTTTTCCGACAGAGAGACACAGACAGAGGCGGAAAGAGAAGAATACGCACAAATAAATCATAAATAATCCCGCTTTATTGCTGCCTGATTTTCCCTTATCGGAAACCATTCATGTTTGCAGTTCCTGAGGTTATTGAGGGTCGTAAAAGATGGATTCGATCTAAACAAGAAAGATAAAAAACAAAAGCAATACTGTAAAACCCGAAAGCATGAGAGAACTCTGGGCCGGGAGATAAATTTCATAGCTATGCAAACACACAAACACTGGAAATTTAAAAGGATGCCTGAAAAATATCAAATTAAGGGTAGGCGGTGGTAGCATGCATGTTAACAATCTCTCTTATGATAGATGGTTCAAATTAACTTCCAGGAAAGTGCATTAACGTTGCCTTTGAAGGGCTCTGGTCTAAGCCTGTGAGAACACTATCCGCTTTTTATTATTGGAACCTACAAGAGGGAAATATATACACACCAGGGACAGCAGGTACCGGGAAATACAAACAAAGCCAGAAAGAACTCTGCTTGGGCAAAGCTGCTTAAATGGGTCTTGGGCTCTGCCCACTGTAAGTAAGGTTAGCTTCATTTTTACCACCGTTATTGACACTATTGTTTTTAACTCCTCGATTAGGAGAACAAATAAACCATTTTAATAAATCTATCCTAGAACCAGGCCCGCCAAAAGCCGAATTAAAACCATTCTTGAGAAGAGATGGTAAAACTCTTTTTCCCAAGGCCTTCTTGAACAGTAAGCAATGGGATAATCTATCAAGATTTCTCGATTTCCGTGCATGGAGAATCATATTTACATTGTACTAAAATAACTCTAAAATTTGCACAATATTATAAGGTAGCAAATGTGGTATTAATATCGATCTGAACAGTGGATAATTTATTTAGACAAGAGCAGCTCATTTGTATGCAAGGTGGCCAGGGCCTTGAACTTGCCCCCCCCCCACCCTTTTACTTTCAGTGCAAATGCAGGTCTGCTAGTGTGAGAGGGAGTCACTCTTTGCAAGGGGGATAAAGTGCAAAACTTAAAACAAATGGAAGATTTACTGAATAGCTTCCTCGGGCTTTGAATGCATTTTATCTTAATAAGTCTTCTTGATGGGAATGTGTTTTTCAAAAGTGACAAAGAGCCTGGGAAGCAGTGTGCAAGATCCTTTGACTCTGGCAGGCCCAGGACTGGCTGGCGCTCTCCTACCCATCCCTTTAGCCAAATCCATCAGGAAGGGAGCCAGCATGGAGAAGCTAGGGTTGTAAAATCCCACCCAGTGAAGTGTCTTAAAGCAGAAGTGTGTGGTGTGGAGCTGGACAGAGGTTTTCTCAGCAAAGGTCTTTCTCTTTTCCTTATGCCCCTAGATGCACGTTTCACTTTTAAACTTTCCATCCTAAAACATTTCTGTGAAAAGTCCCTTCATTTAAAAAAAAAAAAAAGTTTTCCAAAGGAATTTTTTGAACCAATTCTTCAAGGTGCAAGGGATGCTGAGACATGAACAATAACATTATTTTGTTGGAAAATCGCAGGCAGAATATCTGAAAATGGAAATAGACCTGTCAGTAGTAATTCACCCCCCTTCACCCACCCCCTTTCATACAGCACATTTCCACTTTTGACTAAATTTGTTTTGATTGCTAGCCAGAAGGGAATTCATGGGAAGAAGGGAATTCGTGGGAAGCCTTCCCTAAGTCATCCAACTTTTAAGCAAACTTTGAAGGATGGAAAAGACAGTTTTAGACATATTGTCCAATATGGCTTGCCCTGGCTAAGTATTTGAAGCTGGCATGAGGGTTCCCCGTGGTGGTTTTCACATTTGGCCTCCGGATGGTGTGTTTAATCCTTAATATTCTGGACAGCATCCAGAGACTAGGTCATGACCTGAACTTACTTTGAAAAAAATTCTTTAATTCATACACCTAAATATTCCTTCAAATAAATGAGACTGGCTCTGAAAAGAGCCATCTAGTTAACATAAATACAATAAATCCATTTTCTGCACAATAGTAACTTTGATTTCTAGTTATGGCAGCTGATTACAGCTAGATTTCCTGAACACTAAACTCTTCTGAGTGCACAACATGAATACACTCTCTGAACTACGAAGGCTAAGCCGGGAGGGCCTGAGCAGTAACGGTTATTTATTTACATAATTTCTTTTCCTTATACTATAGAAGAAATAATAAAGGCTCCCACATTGACAATACCATATAAAAAGTTAGACATGGGTTTTGTATGTTTTGTTTCCTTTTCTTATCTGGATTCACGGGGGCAAATATGTACTGAATTACAGCCTTCACTCACCTCTCTTTACCATCACAACCCACCAATTGATTCAAACACTCATCCTGTCTGTCTGCAGACTGGAGAATCCTGCTGCACGGTTGAATGATTATGCAGTGTGTGAAGGTAGACTGAACTAGGACTTACAATGATAAAGGCCATGGGGATAGGTGACTGGGATGATAAAGACCATGGGGTAGAGCCCACTGGTATCTGACAGGCAGCCTCAGCCCCAGGCATTCCATTTCAAAGGTGGAAGGACCTGAGAGCAGCCAGTGTAAGACCCAAGTGTACCTGTCTTGGCTTCTCCTTGGAGGTGCTTAGGGAATGAGAAAGTGACTGTACTCCAGGGACCCTAATGTTTTACTGATTTAAGGAGATGTCATAAAGATATTTAAGGGAAAATCTGTTGGCATATCAATGGGTCTTTCTCATATTGTGTTGTCTGTGGCTGAGACTATCCCATGGTGTGAGGGACAGAAAATGTATGCAGCGCAAGATATATGTAAATACATCACACATAAGTCTGTGTGATGGCCATTAAATAAGGCTATGCTAGAAAGCAGACCCAAGGGCTGACCTGAGAGTCCCCTCTCTATGCACTAAAGCCTCAAGGTGTTCTGTCCTGGCCTTGCTGGCCATAATAATCTCCCTGGCGTCTCAACTCAAACTAGTATGGATGCACTGCACCAGCTGGATGGAGTAATTAGACATCTGAGAGGAACCCAGTCTGGACCTTAGGTCAAAGGAGACTTGCCTCAGAAGTTCTTGAATTATCACAAGTTTTATTTAAATATTTGCTTGAGGCCATACCCTTGTAGATGAAGGTGGCAGAGTGCTTTGTGAACCCTAGTTCTTGAACCGATACACAACATGGAAACAGCAGACATGGATTTTGCTTTGAATAATTTGTTGTTTTCTTAGGGTCACGCTTCCCCATTATACAGTGTTCTGTTACAGGTGTTGTCATACACAAATTCCTCCCCAGATCTATATATTAGCAAATGCTGTCCTTGATCTCCAGCCAACCTCCTGACTGGCTAAGGGCTCCTCTGTGATTTTTCCTGTTTTTAAAATAAGTCTTATTTGTATTAAGAAATAACATAGGGAACGAGGGGGAAGAGCCGCTGTCTCTCTGATTCCATGCTCCTCTCCCTTTGCTTGGCTCTGGTTAGTGGATGTAGGATAACCTGCTGTCTTGAAATATTTTTAGATGACCCAAAAGAGCTTCGGTCGGTTTGAAATAACCACAGGGTTTTCAGTTGCCATCATTGTATAAAGTGCCTTGTCCACTTCTCCCTTGGTCCCTGCTATAGGAAACCACACACACACACACACACACACACACACACACACCTCCTAATTGCATACACCCCAGTTCTGAGACAGAAGCATCAGCTGCCTCTAGCCTAGCTTTGTGTCTGATCACTGAAGATGTTTCTTTTCTGCAGCCTGGAGTAACTGAACCATATTCCTCCTGCTTATTATACAGCTTACAGTGGCCAATTTTCAATTACTTGATCTAAGGAAGATAGAAGTGTCCACTCTCACTGAGGATTTGTTGCAGGACTCTGCCCTGCATATATAGTTGATCTCAAATCCTATATTGGTATAGCCCAGGCTTGATCTGATTCTCCATTCTGCTAGCTTGTGATCCTTTACCCCCATCATGTGGATTCACTTCACAATCTAGGTTTTCCTTGAGCTTGCTGGTTGGGGTCATTTGGGATTGGGCTTCTTTCCAAGAAGCCTTTAAAAACTGTTTCCAAGGCTGTATACTTTTCAGGGGTTCTAAGTACCCCAAAATCAGGAGGGAGAGGGGCAAATGCTTTTCTTTTAATGAGGACAGTCAGAAATATGCTCCCCTGCAGGAGAGAACAGATTGCAATACACAGCAAACATGGATTCACCATCATGTATTATTTAATCCAAAGGTGAAAAGGGGGAATCAAAGCTATGGCCAGGTTGTACCTCTGTGTGCATGTGCGCCCCTCTCCTGTTCTCCCAGGCATGGTGAGGCTTGGGTTTACTGTTATTTGTGTAGGGGATTGGAAAGAGGATGGCAAAGAGGCATGGAGGGAAGGGGTTCTTTTCCTTTTCTTCTATTTCTTTTTCCTTTTCTCCTCAAAACATTAATGGTTTGTATGCCGTTACTGCTCACTCACCTAACAGTCTGTCCCCTTTCCCTATCTCTCCCTCCTGTGGCTGCTCTGGCAGATGCTTGTGGCCTGTCGGATGCTGCCCACATCGAAAGCCTGCAGGAGAAATCGCAGTGTGCACTGGAGGAGTATGTGAGGAGCCAGTACCCCAACCAGCCCAGCCGCTTTGGCAAACTGCTGCTGCGATTACCCTCTCTTCGCACAGTGTCCTCCTCTGTCATCGAACAGCTCTTCTTCGTCCGTTTGGTAGGTAAAACCCCCATCGAAACTCTCATTCGAGATATGTTGCTGTCAGGGAGCAGTTTCAACTGGCCTTACATGTCCATCCAATGCTCCTAGACCTTGGGTGTTTCCCACCTGCCCCTGCCCCTGACTCCCTAGAGACTAAGAGGACTCTCCCTGACCAAGGACTCAAAAGCCTTTGGGGATGCTGGTATGATGACCAAGCAGGCCAGGCAGAGGGGAGGAGGGCTGGGGACAGAAGCAGCCCACTCTGCAGGAATGCAACCTGAGCTGCAAACCAGGAGAAAAAGAGACTCATTTAGGATCTGATCTGTAAGTACATTGGAAAGGAAAGAAAAAAGAATCTCGTGTCTGGTGAGAAAATGAAAAAAAAAAGATTTGGAAGAGAGGACCATGAGAAATTTAATAAAATAGAAGGACTCCGATGGAGACCTCCAGGATTTATTGTGGATGGATGTGGATATATTCTGTACAGAAAACTACTCATATGGAAGTGGACTGAATCCTATGTAGAAACACATACTGAACATTGTTATTCATTTTGTAAAATACTAGTCTTTATTTTCATTTTTTGTAAAATTTAAACATCGTATGCGCATAAACAAAAAAATGAACAAGAATTAGGGGAAATAACATTTTCCAAATAATTATAAAAAAAATTGTCCTGTGTCTATGTATCTATATCTGTTTTGTATTTTTTTCTGGTTCCAAACCAGATTTCCTGTGATTCTATACTAATAATTTTTGATATAACCCTTTGCTTCTTATAATGAGTGCGATATATGTTGTTGAGGCTGTTCTTCAAGAATTAAAATTGAAGTGAAAATTTAAACAAAAATAAAAGAATTTAGCAAAACCCATGTGTCTGGTTGCTTGGACTGTACCCTCAGAGCAAGAGAAGCTCCTGGGCAATTTGTAGGTGGCTGAGTGTTGTTAGGATCCGGGTTGTTGAAAGGGAGAGGAGACTTTTAAGGTCTAAGTTGGCTGCATGTTTCTTAGGCCAGCCACCGCATCACTTTTGTAAAGCTGAAGGAAAGGCCAGGCTGCGTGTGTGCATGATGGGGTAGGAGGGGAAGGCTGGGTCTTGCTGGCAGACAGAAGTCTTTTTAATTTCTCTCTGAGGACAGCCCTGAGTCAGAGGCGGGAGTGGGGGAGGCTGGGTTGTCTTTGAAGCACAATTTCCAGGCACATGGGCCTCACCGCTTGTTACAGTGACCCAGTGTCAGCTCACCTAGACTCTAACTGCAGTGGGAACATTTTTGAGCTGGAAAGGGTTTGCAAAGGTTTCGTGGCAGGCTTTTGTGGAGCGGGGTGAGTAGGGCAACTCACAGCTTTTGAGTCTGGATGGACTGGGCAGCCACTGGCTATCAGCGCCAGGTCTTGCTTCTTCCTGCTTCTGGGCAAGAACTGAGACATCAGCACCAAGAATTTTGACTTTGCTTCTCTTCTGCATCCGTGGATATCTACCCACCTGTGGTTGGTTTGTCCTTCTCTCAGGCTCTTGTCAAGGGACTTCCCAGTAGGACTGGAGCTCTAAGGGTGGGGGATGAACAGAAGGGCCTCCCAACACACTCTTTATGGTACTTAGAAGCTGAACTCAGAAACTAGAACTAGATGTCAAAAGGCTAACCTGGACTGGGTTCTTCCCTGAAATGCCATGTGGGCCCTAAGGGCCCTTGGCAGACAGACACCTCTCTCTGAGGCATCTAGCTGAGCATGCGTTGAGGTGAAGGGCACCCTCTGCGACAAGTACAGTATGAATGTCTTATGGACTCTGAGCCATAGCTGTGAAAACACATACTGCCAAGGGAGCTCTTCCTTGACATATCAATAAAGCCAGATCTTTAAAAATACAACCCCTCTTACACAGGCATCCCCAGCCCCTGGCCCCAGACAGGAGTAGACAAGGGAAGAGCTCACTCTTAGGAACCATCCATAATCTTGAGTTTTCACTTCGCTGTTTGAAAGTTTCCAGGTTCCCAAAATTCTTAAGCAAGCCCCACCTGCTTGACATTTTGAGTAATCTGAGTAGGCAAGGTATCTATGGTGTGGGATGCCTCTGTAGGTCCATGATCTTCCAACCAGGCCACTAGGGGACTAGCTAAACTATGCACCTAGGGAGACTGAGCCTTAATTCACTTTCCTACAGTCTAGAGACTGGAGGCAGAGGAGACAGAGAAGTAGTCGTGTTTAACACAGGGGCCTCCTAGGAAGAATTGGGAATTCTCTTGTACTGGCCAGTGGCAGAGTGTGAGTGAGTTCAAGGGTGGGCTGCTGCTAGGGCTCGGAGGGGGAGGGGAGCCGAGCTGCCAGGAGAGTTCACCGATCTTTCCTGCCTTCTGGAAATGAGATGAAAATATATTCATTACAGTGTGATCCCTCTGATGAAAACAGATAAACATTTTTCGTAGTTCTGAAATGTATGTTTCAATTAATTTCAATATGGAGGCCCAAGCCCAGGCTGCCAAGTGTAGAAAAGGGTGAACAGTGTGAGTCCGCGTACTTCCTCAGGTGTCCAGGGGTGTAAGGGGTCATTTGACTTTTGCTGCCTGTGGTCTGGAGAGTGCTTGTGATCGGAGAATCCCAGAGACTTTTGTAATGCTAGGCCCAACCTCCCAGCCAATTCAAATGTGAAAATAAGCAGGCCTCTCCAGAGGCACTTCCAGCTGCCAAGAAACCCAGAGCTGAGTGTGAAAGAGGAGGCAGGGAGAGTTGCCCACTGACCTGTTTGGGGATTCCCGGGGCAGTATTCTCCCCCCCCCCCCACTACCTTCAATATGCACCGAGGGAAATTTGTGTTTCTAGAATCAGAGATCTAGGTCTCCTTACTAAGATAGACTAGGACATCACGCGACTCAGGGGGCAGGTCAGTGTGCACCCACTCTAAGCTGCTTGAACCTGCCGACATTCCATTTCAGAGCACAGGGCACAGAAACCACACACACTCACACACAAATCCGATCACCCTGAGGAAATGTTGAGGAACCAAGAGTGCAGCCCCTAAACTGTTGGTGAAGCCTACTAACAACCGGAGAAGCACACACACACACACACACACACACACACACACCAGGGAAGCATCCTAGGCTTTCTGGCTGGCTTTTGTGGGTGCATAAAGGATCAGGCCAGCGACTTCGGGGCTTTCGGTGCTGAGAACCGGCTCCAGAGTACCCAAATTATCTAAGTTACGATCTTCTTATGAACAAAAGGCTTAGGTGGACCAGGTGGAAACCTTTTCTGCCTGGGTGGCCAGCTGGAGGGCGTACGACATTGAGCTACTTTCATGCTAGGCGCCAGGGGGAGCCATCGAAACAGGGTGTGAGACCTGAGGTCATTCTGGAGAAATACCAGCTCCTACCTCCAAAACTTGGGAAAATGGAGACTACCTAATAGAGTGTAGAAAAACACGGATTCCTCAGAATCAGTGGAAACTTAGGCAACCCTTGTAAAATGACTTCTTTCTCGAAATTGAAATTACCACGACTCTTTAAATCCAAACCGGGCACCAGAGAACGTGAGTGACGTTGAAGTAGGTTTAAACTACCTTAGCTGAAAATATTTGAAAGTTACTTTCCAAGAAATCTCTAGAGAAGCCAGGTGGCGCCTTTACAGCCCATAGGACAAGGCGGAATGAGAAGATATGACCTTTGACACTCTATTCTTCTTACACCATTTCTAACTTGGGACCAGGCTGAGTGAAAGAAAACGGAAAGATACGGAGATGTGGGTCCTTTCACGTTCACCTTTCTCCTCTAGAACCCTGCCCCTCCTTAATAGAGCCTCAAGGTCTCCAGCATGGTCCCTGGGGCTCCACTGACCAGCCTTACTGTTAGGACGCTGGAGAGCTGCAACACAAGCTCTTTAGGGTAGTGAACAAAAAAAAAAGTTTATTTTTGAAAATGTTCTTGTATAGGCAGCCCTTATATTTCCCACTGTCTGACTCATATTTGGGCAGCTCCCTGTTCCTTAGAACAGATCACCTGATTGTACTGCAAATAGAAGATCACAAGAAGCATGTGGAGAGAGGAAGGGGGACAGAAGTGGGAACCAATAAAACTCTTGTTAAAGGGCCTCTGTTGGGGGGGGGGGGTCCGTGGCGTCACTGGGCTTTTTCCTTGGGAAGCCAAAGAGTCGTATTCCTAAATGAGTTAAAGACCCATTTACCTCTGTCGTGTTCTATTCATCAAGCCACAAGTTGAGAGTTCCTAACATGAAACTATTTGTTTGCTTACACAACCAGCTGGGCGCAATTTCACGTCTGAGATATCTATCTGAAAGCGCCTCTCATTTATTATCTCTTCTTGTCAGGGAATCCATTTTTCCGACTCCCCCTCCCTATTCGGAGCTTGTTTATTTGTTTATCGGCGGAGTTCTTTGCTTGTGAAGACCCTTTCCCCAGGGAGCAGCCAGCAGCTCAGGGCTCGGGTTCTGTTGTTTCCAAGATCTTGGACCAGAGAATAACAGCGGTGACTACTGCTGACACCAACTGGCTGGAGAGCGAGGGGTGGAGTAGGCAGTGGGTGGATCAGACCCAAAGTTGCTGGGTAGCCCTTCTCCTCGGAAGTTCTCCCTGCTAACTCTCCCCATGAAAGCTTCAACAAACTGAGCAAGGGACAGAGGTAGGTGGAGGATAGGGAATAAAACGTGGAGTCTTTTCTGGAGATTGTGGCCAGAGATTTGAATTTGAGAGATACTTTGACAAAGCCTCACCTGGTTCCAATTGGCCAATTTTTTCTTCTGGGGCCGATCGCACAGTAACCAAGATGTAAATAGTAGCGTGATGGGTTGGGGGAGGGGGCAATGCATTTATTGTGTGTGTTGAGGGGAAAAGGCTGCACGTGGTTTCAATTTTGAAGCACAAAGAAATAACATGCAATGCAGAAAATAGGTTTATGAATGTAATTGAGAGGAAAGAAAACAATTAACACGGTGGAAAGTTGCACATCAGGATCCGCCCCCCCCCTTGCTTTCAGTTCTATCTGAATTCGAGAAATCCGGATCATGTAGAATAGAGTGGATCTAGGCAGTTGGATCCTGCTGACATGAGAACCCCTGATGGGAATCTCAGTGATAGCTAAATAATGATGTCTATAAGTCTTGCAAACTGTTAAGGCCCCTTCTAACCAGCTGAAAGCAGGAGGTCAAATCCGCAAGTCTAGACTATAAAGTACCTCCAGTTGTGGAGAAGGAAAGAGAAGAGGGAGGGAGGGACGGAGGGGAGAAAGAGAGAGAGAGAGAGAGAAAGAGAGAGAGAGAGAGAGAGAGAGAGAGAGAGAGAGAGAGAGAGAATGAATGAATATTTAGGGGTTTCTTTAAGACAGACCAAGCTAGTCTCTGGAAGCTAACCTATTGTGTTGATTTAGGAAGACATTTGCTGTATATAACATTTAACGCTGATAATATCATTGCACAGCCAGATAAATAAAGCTTTGGCCTAATGATGGGGTCAACGATCGATCTCTGGGCTCAGAGGAAAAAGGCGAGAGAGACAAGGGTTGGGCAGGATGCTCTGTATGTGTGCCTGTCAGCCAGCTTGCAGGACCCCAGTGTGTGTGAGCATCATCTTGTGAGAAAGCAAGTACCAAGTCTTGAGCTGGCCAAGAGGCTCATTAGCATTCCTAACCCATGGACCTATGCTGACAACTAACAGAGATAGCCCTCTCGCCACCAGGCCCGTTCTCCTTTTGTCTTCAGATCTGGAAGAGGGAAGAGAAAAAGATTTCTCAGTACAAGCTGAAGCCTGAACTTCTATGTGATTGTTACGAGCTTCAGTGTGTGTGTGTGTGTGTGTGTGTGTGTGTGTGTGTTGAGAGGCCTACCAGCATTTTCATCATCTTTCAGTCTGCTTTTAATAAT